GAGGCAGGAGACTCGCTTGAGCCCAGGAGTTGGAGGTTGCTGTGAGCAGTGAAGCCATAGCACTCTACCCAGGGGAGCAGCTTGAGGCTCTGTCTCAAACAAAAAAAAAAAAAAAGAAAGATAATGTAAAAAGTGCTCCCAGTACAATGTCTGATACTAATTTGGAACTCAGTAATGGCAGCTGCAGTTATGATCACAGAGTGGACAAACATATACACCAAAAAGAAAACCCAATTATATAAGCAAGGCATTGCACAGATTGCTTTTCAGAAGACAAAAACGAACAACCTTAACATCTTGAAACAGTCTTGAAATATTTTCAGAGGCACGGGGATGAAACAGGCAAGCCCAGGCCCGTAGCACACAAAGAGCAGAGGTACAGGGGCAGGAATGGGCGGCATGTGGGGGGAAACTCACCTACCTGAAGATCCCCCAACAGTATCTAAGAAAAAAACTGAAGCAGGAGAAAGACCCTGTCTCTACTAAACAGAAACAAACAAACAAAAACTAGCCAAGTGTGGTGGTGTCAGGTGCCTGTAGTCCCAGCTACTGGGGGAGCTGAGACAAGAGGATCCCTTGAGCCCAAGAGTTTGAAGTTGCTGTGAGCTATGATAACGCCATGGCACTCTACCCAGGGCAACAGACTAAGACTCTGTCTCAAAAAGGGGGGACGGGGTACCAGGGAGTGGGAAGAGGGAAGGAGGGAGAGGGATGGGTGTGCTCTCATTTAGAGGGCACAGTGTTAGGGTGTATGGCACACATGGGGGCAGGACACAATTATAAGAGGGACTTTACCTAACAAATGCAAACATTGTAATCTAATTCTTTGTACCCTCAATTAACCAGAAACAAAAAAAGAGAGAGAGAGAGAAACTGTAAGGATCAGTCTGTGAGACAAGAGAAACAAGTTTAGGAGGTGGATTGAAACCAAATAGGACTGGCAGGAAAATGGGCAGAAAAGGAGGTGGAAACTAGCAAACTAAACTGTGGGGTCTCACCAAGGACTGTGTGACCCCGGGCAATAGCTTTTTTTTTTTAGGTGGGTAAACTGAAGGCAGGGGGGCTTTTACTTCCAAAGGCCCTCCCAGACTCCTGGGTCTGATGCTGGGGCAATAGGGAACCCCAGAAGGCTCAGGAGCAGTGAGATCGCAGGGCAGGAGTAACTCTCACCCAGACAGCTTTTGTTATCTGGTGCTAGCTTGTAGCCAGAGTTGCAGGCACAGTGGAATGTGCCTGGGGCGTTGACACATTGGTGTTGGCAGTTGTGTTTCCCCGCAGCACACTGGTCCTTCCCTGAGGACACACAGAACTAGAATCAGCAAGAGACAGAGGACAAAGAGAAAACTAGGAGTCAGAGGCAGACAACCCCCCCTTAAGTATGGCCTTAGGAGGTATGCCATGCATTTGAGAGAGACAGGACCAGGTGGGAGGGCTTAGGGAACAGAGCTTGAGTAGGCCTTGTGAATAAGCTAGGGAACCCCAGTGGACTAGACAAGTCAGTAGGATGGGCCTACACAAGGGCACAGGTGAGACAGGGAGGTGGAGAGGTGCTAAATCAGGTAGGCAGAATATCTCAAAACATGACCGGAAACTATCTTGCTGCATTTATGGGAGGAGCCAAGTTGAGTGGGAGAAGCTATGCCCTCGTGGCTAGGAGCTTGTGACTCTTTGGAGCCTGAGATTGCTCTCCACTTTGAGGGGCAGTGCTTCTTTGTATCCAGGGGTTTGGGGTTGGAGTTTGGCACTGAGCCAGTGGAAAACCACAAACGCTCATCCTGGTGGGCAGGGTAAGCTAACTGCTGTTCCTTGTGGATAGAGCCCAAGCAAAAGTAGCCTGAGATGAAATTTGACACAGCCTGCGGTTGGCCAGAGCAACTCTGCTTTACCTGGAAGGCTCAAGGCCACCCGGATAGAATGGAATTTACTGTGATGGGAACAAAAATCCAAGCAGCTGGATGGAGAATTCGAGCCTTACTCCAGCACTCCCCTAACTCACCACACAGCCGGCCCTGGAACTGCAGGCCAAACTCCTGGATGAGGTCGAAGGACTCAACGAGGAAGACGTGCTGGTCTAGCGGGTGCGACGCCATGGCGCGCAGGGAGTCCACATCTGCTCGCTGCACCCCCACAGCATAAATTTCAATGCCGCGAGCACGCGCCTGAGCTGCCACCTCAGCCACGCGATCCTGGGGCCGCCCATCTGTCACGATGACAGCAACGCGCGGCACGCGCTCCTCTGGCGGGCGCGCGCCCTCAGCCACGCTGAAGGCCACGTTCATGGCGTACTGGATTGCCAGCCCAGTCATGGTGCCCTGAGCCAGCGGCACCAGAGCACGAATGGCACGCTCCATGTCCTCAGCGCGCGAGAAGGCGCCGAGCGGGAAGACGCTTTGCACTTGACTCGAATACTGGATCACGCCGACGCGCGTGGCATTGGGCCCCACGTTCAGGCCACGGAGGAGGCCCACCAGGAACTGCCTCATCGTCTCAAACTCAAAAGGGCGTACGCTGCGGGAGCTGTCAATCACGAACACCAAATCCAGCGGTCCAGTGTGGCACCTGGTACCTGCTGAGAGATCAGAAAGGACTTCCCTGTGTCAGCAAAGCCTCACCTTCTAGGAGACACCCTCCCCCCAAAACGACGGGGAAATAATGTTATCCCGGTATAATAGCACCCAGTGCAAATTAACCCAGCAGACGCACTCGCTCATCCAATTCATCCACCATTTATTTAGGACCTGGGCATGGAGATTTCACGAATTCCCTAGAGTTGCAGGCACAGTGGAATACGCCTAGGTATCAACACTGAGACCTATTCTGAGGGGGTATTATCTGTTGAGGAGGGGGTGAAGAGGAGCTGTCAAAAACTCAAATGCCTGAAGAGGCGACATAAAAGAGTGAACTGTTTGGGTTAGGATGGTGGACACCCAAAGAACCTAGATCCCTGCCAAGTGCTGCCATATATAGCCATCCACATTAGATGGTAGCAAATCCTTGGAGTTTTCAAGAGAAGTCCCAAGTAGGGATTATTATGTACAATCTCCTGACTTTTCCAGGTTTTCAATTAATTTTTCAAAATTAAACACCAAATGGGCAGTTCTGCATGAGCCCCCAAACTACAATGAAGAAACTGAGGCCCAGAAAAGTGAAGGGGGCACTTAACCCCGCTTTGGTATGTTCCAAAGTCCTTCTTTCCTCACTCCAGCAGGCCCAGGTGGCTGCGGAAGGAGAACCAGTTTCTGCTTCCCGCCTCCCACTGGTGAGAGCAGGGCCCCGGCTCACCTGCCCGGTGGAGCTGAGTTTCCCAGGGCTGGAGAAGGAGCAGCCACATGAGTAGTGGCCAGAAAAGAAGGCCTCTCATGGTTCTCAGGGGACAGGAAATAGGAGGCGTCAGAGCCTGGAGAAAGGGAGGAAAAGAGAAACCAATATTTACAGAGCTCTTATTCTGGGTGATGGGTGCTTGAGAAGGAGGAAGGCTATGGGTTTATTTTGCTAATCTCTCCATTATTGTGTATGTTCAAAATGCTTCATAATTTAAAATTTGGGGGCCTGGAGGCCAGGCTTGATGGCTCACACCTATAATCCTAGCATTCTCGGAGACCAAGGCAGGTGGATTGCTTGAATTCAGGAATTGGAGACCAGCCTGAACAAGAGTGAGACCCTCTCTCTACTAAAAGTAGAAAAATAAGCTGGGCATTGTGGCAGGTGGCTGTAGTCCCTGCTACTTGGAAAGCTGAGGAAAGAGGATCACTTGAGCCCAAGAGTTTGAGATTACTGTGAGCTGGGTTGATACCATGGCACTCTAGCCTGGGCAGCAGAGTGAGACTCTGACTCAAAAATGAAAAAATAAAAATAAAAATTTCAGGCTTAGTACAGTGGTTCACTGGGAGGGGGAGGCAGCAGAACCATTTGAGCCCAAGAGTTGGAGATTGCTGTGAACTATGACTATGCCACTGCACTCAAGCCCCAACAACAGAGCAAGACCTTGGCTCAAAAAAAGTCATCACAGTGGGATTGCTGGGAAACACAGATGGTTCTTTGTAGAACCGCAGAATAAGAAATAAATAAAAAGTAGGTAAAATATTTACAAAATTTAAACAGAAAGAAAAGTCTTTCCTAAACGGGAGACACAGTGTTAAATGTTTTTCATGTAGTGCAGCATTTAATCCTCTCTACAGTTCTGAAACTAAGGCTGTTGTTTTTCCCATTGTACAGATAGGAGACTAAGGCTTAGAGAAGTTACGCGCTGGTACCCAAAATCGTGTGGCAAGGAACTGGCTGCACCAGAATCCTACGCCAGCAAGGGTTGTTCAGGGCCCTCTTCTGCTAGGCGAACCTCTGCAGACAGAAGCCTTCCCCCCCTCGGCCCTCCCCCCTCTGCATACTAGGAGGTGTGTGCTGTCCTTAAGACTACACTTCCCCCAACCCCTCTCCCCACCAACAGACAAGCACCGCCAACCGCTGACTGCGAGGGAGAGCTCACCCTTTCGCTGGATTGAGTGGGACAGAACCCCCCGTTTGCAAGAATTCTGGGCTCCGAGTCTCCATTTCCTTCCTGTTCTCAGGAAAGGCCGCTAGAGGGCACCTGCTCGGGTCTGGCTGCCACCACTGGGTGGCCGTGGGAAGCCCACATCTGCCCAGCAGGTGTCCCTGCCGAGAGCAAACAGGGGACTAGGAGCCTCGGGGCCTTGGAGAGATAAGACCCGGACAGGATATATTCCGCGCGAGGGCCGGGGTGTTGGGGTGTGTGGGTTCTGAGGACCGCGGCACTGCACGCCCCCAGAGGGCCGCAGGTGAGCGGCAGAGGCCTCTGACAGCAGCCATGGACCCTGTGGTGGCAGCAGGTGAGCCTTCATCTTCCCCCGGCTCTGGGTAACACCCTTGAGAATTAGGAAGGACCCTCCTGTTGTACGGGTGGGAAAATTGAGGCCCAAGAAAGCAGCCTGTAGAGCTGCAAAAGCAGGATTAGATCCTGGGACTCCTGGCTCCCCTTCTCCTTCCTGAGCCACTTGGTCGCCTGGCGCCTAGGAGTCACTAAACCTCTTTTCCTTCCATTGCCTACCTCACCCCCTGGGCCCCATGCTGCATCTGTGTTAGCCATTTCTCTGTGCTATTTCTTGGCAGGGAAGGCTAGCCGCCCCCTACCCAGCCGCAGCCCCGCCTCTGCCCTCTCCTCCCCAATTTCGTGAATGGGTCTATTCTGAGCTGAGTCGGGTGCCAGCGGCTCACTCCGGGCGGCCTTCTGGTCACAGATTCTTCTCCTCCTTCGCCTTCCAGGCCTGGTAGAAGAACAGAAATCCTTCTGGCAGGGCCCATCGTGGGAGGGTGACTAAGTTACATATGCCAGCGGCTGGTGGAGGTGGGAGGGTGGGGAAGGCTTTCTCTAATTTGGGCCATAGAGGAGGCCAGCATCCCTGGGTAGCATGAGGGTAAAGTCATAAGAGGCCTTCACCACTCCCCAACCCTTCCCACATGGAGAAGCCTCCAGCGTCAAAATCTTGATGAAGATCCCCTGGTCCTGCTCTTGGTCTGAGCCGACATCTTACCAGACAATCCACCTCCTCCCCAAGAATCCTAGAAAATCAAAATAGCCACTGCCTCCAAGTTCATCACCTTTCCAACCCCCTCATTCTAAACCGAAAAGGACTTGGTCCAGAGAGTGTAAAGTCTCAGCGACCTCCTGGTGGAGCTGGCACTAGAACCTGGGACTCCTCTGAGGGGTTAATCCTTAGGTTAAACAGATGAAGAGATGCACTGGGGAGGGAGGAAGAGTGGACTGGCACGGGAGGAGAGGTCTGCAAATAATTCCTCAAGAGTTGGCCAAGAAATGAACACCTTGGAGACATTCCTTGGGGTTCCTGAAGGGACAAAATTCGGGAAGAGATGACCCCATTTTTGGCGGCGTTGCTGGTGGGGGCTCAGTTTGGAAAGGACCCAACAGAAGCGGGGTCAGTACAGCGTAGGTCAGATGAGGGCATGGTGGCGGTGCATCGCTGCTAAATACGGTCGTCTGGTCTGACTAGACACCTGTCCCCCAGGAGCCCCCTCAGCGCCCCCGGGCCCTTTGACTCACCTGAGCCTGCCGGACAGCTCAGAGGCGCGGCTGCAGAGCGGAGCCGACGGGCAGAGCCTTACAGGCACTTGGACCAGGTAACGGCGTGGGCAGCGCGCCCTCGGTGGGGACTGCCAGGCAGCTGGAGCAAGCGTAGGCGGCGGCCGCATTTAACCCGGGGCTGGCGGGTGAGGAGGGGGAGCGCAGGCTGCGACCCTCCCACTAGCAGGGAGCGACCCCCCCTTCCTCTGACGGCCGGGGCGGGGCAAGCCCGGCGCCCGTTGTTCCTGCCACCTAGGAACCGCAGGCGCTAGCTGCGGGCCGGCCGAAATTAGGCTGCCGCGGGAGACTGGGGCGGCGACACTCTCCGCTGCCGGAATGCGTTGGAAGCCTACGAGGCACTTCCCTGAGGAGAGCCCCAAGGGGCGGAGCGGTCCGGGTTCTGGCCGCTGACTGCCTGGCCCCGCTTCCGAGGGCGCGGCCCTACACTTGCCCTCCGCTGTCCCCTCCAGGAGTAAGGAGAGGCTGAGGACGCCCCTCTTGCCCAGAGGGTAAAGGGCTCAGAAGGGCAGCGTCTCTGTAGACGGCTCTCCTCCCGCCCCAACCTGCCGGTTTCTCGAATCTCTCCCACCGCAGACTCCTTTACACGCTCCCTCCCGGCAATGGCCTAGAATTTGGGCCCAGCCACTCTCACTGAGGCAACCCCACCTCACAACCCCAAGCTAAGGAGGCACCAGACCCCTAGGCTCTGACCGGGCACTCCGCAGGACCAGTGTAATCGGCCTTGATTCCCCATACTCAGGGACCGAAAGCCAACCCAGCAACAGGCAGAAGTGGAGGAGTGTTGCTTTGGCCTCAGAAAAACTCAGATTCCCCCACCCCACACCCAGTCTGGAAACTCACTTTAGGGGCTCTTTCTTGTTTGAGTGTTTGCCAGCATCTGCTGGCAGGCAGCCACAGAGGGCACCAGGCAGACTGCACCCGGCTGGGTGTCCTGCAAAGCCTGTTCCTCTCTGGCATTCTCCTGGGGTGGGGAAGCTTAACCTCTATCAATTCCACAGGCCCTAACATACCTCTGTCCAACCCAAGGCCAGCATAAGGGAGGCCTTTGTATCACAGCCAGGTGTCCTTAAGGCCCTGAGCTGCAATGGGCATGCAGCCAGACCTACAGAGTGGCACCTGGGTGGTCGCAGTGGGCCCCATGCAGGCCTCATTGAGCACCTTACAGACCAAATATTTAGCCCACGACTTGCACCAACTTGCACCCGAGCCCCCACCTTAGTGAACACTTCCTCTCTCTGACCCCATGAGAGCAGAATGTAAGGCAGCTCCACCCCACTTCATTTCGCCCGTGTGGGTTGGGCTCTGTGCCACCTTGCCCCTTGACTCTCCCTGGTGTGGTCTGGTTGGCCTGCCTGCCTCCACTCCCAGGTCATCCCCAGAGCATGCCATAATCTTGCGAGAAGGCGTGCGAGAGTGCCTGCAGCAACAGTGTGAACAGACAGTGAGGATCCTGCACGCCAAGGTGGCCCAGAAGTCATATGGAAATGAGAAGCGGTAGGTCCCTCAGTGGTCCCTCCCAGTCTGTGCGGCCTTCAGCCCTATGTGCCCTTCCACCCATTTGGCCTCTTTTAGACCCAGAGGAGGCCTCAGGGCAGAGACCCCAGCTATTGGCTGACATGAGGGCCTTGGCTCCCACTTTGCTCTTAGCAGAGCCTTCCTGTGAATCTCACCCCCTCATTCATTCACTCACTCACTCACTTATTCTTTCATTCATTCATTCAACAGCTACTTTTTGAGTACTTATCACATGCTAGGTTCTATGGGCACTGGACATACAGCTGAACAAGACATATGCAATCCCTGCTCTCATGGCATTTTCAGTCTAGTGAGGAAGAGAGGAAAACCCCCATAAGTCAGTAAACAAGATACTTCCAGATTATAATGAGGGGTACATTAGCTAAAAGGCCTTCTAGGAGGTAACATCTTAACTGAGACTTGAATGTTAAAATGGAGCCAGACACCAGAAAACCTGGGGAAAGAATGTTACAGTTAAAAGGAACAGAAAACCTTCCTACAAAGGAAGTCAGAGTGGCTGGAATTAGAGACAGAGGGAGGAGCTGTAGGAAATAAATCAAAAAGACAAGCAGGACCCAGATCAGGGGAGGACTTTAATTTATTTTATTTTATTTTATTTTATATAGAGTCTCAGTTTTTTGCCCTGGGTAAAATGCTGTGGCAACATCATAGCTCACAGCAACCTCAAACTCTTGGGCTTAAGTGATCCTCTTGCCTCAGCCTCCCGAATA